TCCCTTCTGAGCTGACTTCCTTCATTATTCATCCACACCACTTACTTCTTCCAAAATCTCAATTTTCATGCCCCCACCTGCCAACCCTCAACCTGGAACAGTCTAGTGCCTGCCTTTTCTGCTTCTAAACACCCAGGGTACTGTGCCCTCATGCAGACAACCACACAGTAGTGTGGTCTGGTGACACCATAAACTTGCAAAATAAGTTGGTTCCTTTGGCCAAATGGCAATCCTATGTCTCTCCCAATCACCCTAACTAATACCTGAACCTTATTCATGCTTCCTTCTCTCTCTTACATATTCATACTCGGAATGGCATCCTTTTCTATACCATGAGGAAAATGATCTTCATGCATAGAACCCCTCAGCTTTCTGTGCTCCCTGTGCAAATAAAATGTATATCTACAGCTATGGCCGAGATGAATTGCTGTCAACCAGAATCTGTTCCTCCCTTCTTCCTGGACACACAGCTCTGCTACATTTCTCAACCTCTTTGCAGTTAGGTGTTACCATGCGATGAAATTTTTTGCCAATGGAATTTGAGCATTAGTGTTATCTACCACTTTCATGCCTGGTCTATAAAATGTCCCACATGCACATCACCATGATCTTTCCCCTTCTGGCAAGCTGTTTGATGATACGAAAACCATGTGTTAAAGATGGTAAAGCTGCCATCAGCCTTGTTCCTGAAATAACTGCATGGGAAGTAGCTGCCTGCCTGTCTTTAAAAACTGCCTTAAAAATGATGTAAGTGAGAAATAAGCTTTGTTTTTGAGTCATTACGAATTAGAGTTTATTTTTATAGCAGGTTAGCCTATGCTAACAAATGTAATAGCCATTTTTCCTCTCCCAATTCTTAATGGGAAAAATGGCTCTCCCCTGTCCTGTCCCAGGGAGTCCCTCTACCTGAACTCTGGACTCCAGCCGCACCCCAAGCCCTGTTTCATCAATTATTTACTCTCTCCTCTAGGTCTCAACTTATCCTCTCCTGGCACTTTTCCGCCTGCACACAGACATGCTCATATCTCTTCTAACTATACCCAAAAAATCTTACATTGCATGATCTGATAGTCTCCTTGTCTAGAATTATCTTTTCTCCTTCCTTTTAAGGTCAAGGCTTTTTCATCCCACTCTCTACTCCCTCACTCTGTTACCTGGTCTCTGTCCCCACCACTGTTCTGAAACTGCTTGAGATTGGGTCCCAGTGACCTAACAGAAGATGGTCATATTTCACATCTTATCTAACTTGGCATCTTGGCATAGAAAGCTGTTCCTCCCTCCTCCTGCCTTGGTGCTCCTGTGACACTGAGCTCAGCGGTGCTTCTCTTCCTTCCTAGCTGCTCCTTCTAAGTCTCCTTGACAGATTTCTTTTCCTCTCTCTCTTTGGTAAATGTGGATTCACACTCTATCCTTTTTTCTTCCGACTGTGTATGTATCTCTTTCTAAACAATTTTGTTATTGCCTGTGGTTTAAATGACCATTCTTTATAGATGCTAATGCCACACATCCTTGAGCCTCCAACCTATATTACCAACTGCCTTCTAGATATTTCTATCTTTATGGCCCATAGGCACCTCAAACTTAATATGTCCAAACTGAATCGGTCATCTTCCCCATTCCCAGCAACTACTGCCTTTATATTTTCTATTGAGGCAGATGGTAACAGCTGTCCATGGGTAACAGTCATCCACTAACCCTCTGAGCTGACTTCCTTCACATCAATTCATACCACTACCCTCTTCCACAAGCTTAATCTGTATGCCCCGACCTGCCAACCCTCAACCCTGCAACAGTCCAGTGCCTGCCTTCCCTGTTTCTAACCTCCTAGGGCATACTCTGTCCAAGTGGAGAAAATCACACAGTGGTTTGGTCAGGGGCATTATATCAAGGCACTCAGGATAGACACATGGGAGCAAGTCAACCTGGTTTCTCATCCCCAGAGTACTCTGCCTCCAAATCCTACTACATGTATCTGCTGAACACCTCTCCACTACATCTGTTTGTCTCCCTTTCTTGGCCACCGCTGAGCTCAGACCTTTGTCATCACTTTCTTAGATCATCTCAAGCAACTTCCGGACTATTCTTCCTGTGGACAGCCTCACCTTCCTCCTCTAGTCTTACGATTTGATATTGTCTCTTTCACTGTTGATATTCATTTATGGGATTTTTTTCCCTTAATGTCTTTTTCAAACTAAAAAGTAATATTCTCATTGTAAATAGTCAAATAGTTTATCAGGCTATTAAAAAAAAATTAAAGTCACACCATAGACAGTTCTTAAATCTTATCACCAAATACATATACACAGCTTTTTTCTAAAAATGGGATCTTATTACACACACCACATTTCTTCTATGCTGTATTGTATTTTAGGAGGAACTTTTTTTTTTCACATTTCAACATCTCTAAAATCACAATGTGTCATACAATCAATGGTTCTTAGGTTTGGTTACATACAGCATTGTTCTACAATGTATCTTTTTACTTATTGATATTGGTCATGATTCCAAACCAACACTTAACCTCCAGGAGATCTTTCTAAAGTACAAATCTGGTCAGGTTGCTACCCGTGGGAAAATTCTTCCAAGCCGCCCCCGCCCCCAAAGCCCTTCATCTTCTGATTCCCCTCTTTTTCCCTTTCTAGCACATCTACACACGGCCTCTTCCTTAAAGCCAAACAGTCCAAGCAGATCTACTGGCAGTTCATTCCCCAAATAGCTATGCTTATGCTAAGCCAGATCTCTTTGCCTTTGTATCAATGATTTTTCTGCCTTAAAGCTTATTCTCACCTTTTCTACTCAAAGTTAGCTCTTACTGGAGAATTGTCCTGATCCCCCAAGCTGAGCCTGAGTTCTTCCTTTAGGCACCTCCCCTCAACTTCTCCAGTATGTGGTGCATGTCTCTGTTAAATCACTTAGCACACAGGTTCATGCCATTTATCTCGTTGCTCCTACTACATAGAGAGACATAGCAAGTTCTCAAGCACACTTTCTTCTTTATTCCCATTTCCAACACTGTTGGGGTAATGTAGGAGCTTCATACATATTTTTGGAAATAACAAACTGTATATGCAGGAGGCAAAAATGCTCCCTGAGATAACATAAAGAGCTTTCTAATTAACCATCCCTTTACCCTGGGACAAGAGAGACAAAGAGGAGAAGGTCTGGACACCAAAGTACCTGGGAATCCAGAAATCTAAAGCAATCAGATTTTTTTCTTTTTGTTTCCTCCAGTCCAATTAATTCCACCCTCAACTAAAAATAATCTGGTTTCAACAACCATATGCTTTATAATCTCCCCTCACCTGGCCTTCTACTTCCTTTCTCTCTAGTCTTTTTAAGTCCTTTAAGTCAAAACTTCAGTCAATATTATGGCTGTCTTTTGCAGCAAGCCCCTTATTTTGTAACCAAATATTTTTAAAAGTACCAAAGAGGGATTCTTTCCACTTGCCATTCTAAAATGTCTACTTGAGTCTTCCATTCGGTCTTCCTCCTTCCTTAGGTATGGACTCACCTCACTCAGTCCCAGCAAGACTTTATACCAGCAAATAAATTCAAAAGAAAAAAATTCAAAAGAAAACGGAAGTTTAATACAAAGGCTTTATTTTAATAACTATCCTATAGGCTTGATGTTATGTAGAGACATCAGTGGAAACCACTATCCCTCTCTCAACCCAGTATTGGGTTTGAATCCTAGAAAATGCCAAAAATAGACAAAAATGTTTCCAGCTGTTTTCTTCTGACCTAGATAATATAAAGCCAAGGATTCATTCATGGAAAAGTACCAGGGTACTTTTGGGGATTTAAAAATCAAGCTCAGTTAATGTGGTCTGTAGGGCAGTCACTAAGATTGGTCCATGCTAAAACATGTCTTTGTCAACAGTTGCAGGGCCAGCACACATACTTTCAATACTCTCTCTTGGCAAAAAGAATAGAAACTATGAATAATCAGAAATAGAAAAGCAAAAGGGAAAGTGGGAAGATGAGGGGAGTGCAAGAAAAAAGAGTGACAAATGACAGGGAAAGAGAAAATGGATGCTTTTGGATGGGAAGTACAGTGGACATGAGAGGATCTGAGAAACAGACATATTTCCTGTCAGTAGAGGCTGAAGGTAAACAAAGATGTAACAGAAAGAAATGGGAAGGTCAAGCTAAAGAAAAGAATGAGAGAGGGCTTGTAACTAAAACAGGAAAAGAGATAATGACAGCGAAAACTATCTCAGGCATGTCTACAGGACTGATAAGGAAAAGACATCCAGGGTCTCATCTCCAAGACAAAAGTGTCAACATGTGGAGAGAGAAAATGGAAGAGGGATCCCAGCTGCTTTGGGGCAAAGGTCTGTTAAAGACAACTCTCTTCTGCATTTTGAACCTGTGGAGGGAATCTTACATTCTGAGCGGAAGGACTTCACCAAGCCAACACAAAACACTGTACAAACCTCTGCTGTTCACAAATTTTAGAGTAAATAAAAGCAAACTAATGCTACACATCAAATGCCTTAACTGGCGAGACATAATTTCTAGTTCATTTTGGCCGCTGGGAGCAAGAAGCTATCCAAGTGTTTTTGTTTGTTTGTTTTTTCCAGCACCTTAATGTGAGACAAGTATGAAGGAAAAAGGCGCGAACCAACATTGGCCAGTAGTAACTTTCAGAGTGATTTCTCTTTTCGGTCTAGACTTGGATGTATTTGGACCCCTTGGAAGGGGCGCCGGAGAAGCGGCCCAGTATTTCCATCTTAAGAAAAATTTAGTTTGGATGCAAAGTGAGTTTTGCGGACCTCAAAACAGCCTCGAGAAATCTGAAATACTCCTCTACAGCGTTCATAAAGAAAGAGAACTCAGATTGCCTGTTAACTTGCACCTTCTCCTCCTCCCCCATCGGCTACAGCCTGAACTCATCAAAGCACCAGGAGGACAGGAACGGACTTTCCATCGCTTTTGTTTCCTGCGTGGCGGAGACTCAGAGGAACGGCCGGTCGCCTACCTGCCTTCCACTTCCCTGGCCGGGAGCGGCCGCGCGTCTCGCAGAGCGACTTGCTGGCGGCTGGGTTCGCCGCCAACCTCACCTACCCGCTGACTCTCCGGCCCGACTCTTCTGGGATGGGTGGCGGGGGGTGGGGGAGACCTCGGAGGGCGGAGTGACACGCGGAGGCGGGCCGGGCCCTTCCCCCCAGAGCCAGGGAGGAGGCGCCGCCAGGGCGCAGGTGAAACCGACTCGGCCCTATCCCGGGAACTTTCGCTGCGGGGACTAGTTGCGAGAGGCTAGCGTCGCGCAGGGGGGCCTGGGAGCCGCCCTCTCTCTCCCAGACTGCCCGCGGGGATCCCGCCCAGGGGCCACCGAAGGGTACCCACTGCCCTCCTGGCGCGCTCACCGGCTGCGGGCAGCGCTGGCCTCTGCCGCTGATGGGGGCGGTTGGTGCCGCCCCGGGCGCAGGTGACATTCGCCCAGCCAGGGTTTTCTCTGGCGGGGTAGAGCCCCCGGAGGGCGAAACGCAGACACCCCGGGGGCGGAGGACAAGGCAGCGATGGCCCGAGAACTGAGCCAGGAGGCACTACTGGACTTTCTGTGCCAGGCTGGGGGCCGCGTGACCAATGCTGCCTTGCTGAGCCACTTCAAGAGCTTTCTCCGAGACCCCGACTTGCCCCCCAACCAGCACCAGCACCGCCGCGAGCTCTTCAAGGGCTTCGTCAACTCGGTCGCCGCAGTGCGCCAGGACCCCGACGGCACCAAGTACGTGGTGCTCAAGAGGAGGTACAGGGACCTTTTGGGGGAGGAGGGGCTGCAGCCACCCCGCGATCCGCCCGCAACCGCCCCCAGTGCAGGGGGAGCTGCGCCCTGCTCCCCGCGAGGCGCGCGCCGAGGGGAGCCTCCCCAGCCCAGGCGGCGGCGGCGAGAGAAGGAGCCGGAGGAGGAGCCAGCAGGTGCAGCAGCCAGAGCCGCCGACGCGGGTTGCAATGGACTCCCAGCCAGCGGCGCCCGCGCGGCTCCCGGGAAGGGCAGATCGAAGGGCAGCCCTGGACACAGGGCGCCGGTGCCCGCAGCTGCAGCAGCAGGGACCCAGGCGGGAGCGAGGTGCGCGGCGGCAGAGGCGCAGGGCCGCTGCTGCTGGGAATGCCTCCAGAGCAGCCTGGCGGGGCTCCCGGGAGAGCTCGGCGCACTCCCGGACTCCGCCACCGCAGAGGAGAAGCCGGCGCGGGCTCTGCCCGCCCTGGAGGGCCGCGGGGCTTCCAGGGAGCGAGAAGAAGGCGCGTTGGCTGAGCCTGCGCCAGTGCCTGCAACACCTCGCTCGCCTCCGGCCACAGTCGAGGCTGCGACGAACCGGGCTTCTCTGCCTGCTCTCCAGCCCTGCACCGCTCCCCGCGGAGACCGGCCGGAGCTGCTGACTCCCAGCTCCCTGCATTATTCGACCCTGCAGCAACAGCAGCAGCGCACTCGAGAGTGGGTGGCCAGGCACCCGCAGGTGCCTGAGGCCCGTGATCAGGGTCCTATCCGCGCCTGGTCGGTGCTGCCTGACAACTTCCTCCAGCTGTCCTTGGAGCCTGGCTCCACGGAGTCTAACTCAGAGCCGCCAGATCCCTGTCTTTCTTCACACTCTTTCTTTCCTGTTGCTCCAAATGAATCCTCGGAATCCTGGCTGGGAAACCCTTCACTGACTGTCTTTCGCAGCATTCGTTGTCAGCTGTCCCTCCAAGATCTAGATGACTTTGTGGACCAGGAGAGTCATGGCAGTGAGGAGAGCAGCAGCGGGCCCAAAGAGTCCCCGGGGGCTTCTGAAGAAGGGTTGCAGGTTGTCTTGGGAACCCCAGATCGGGGGAAGCTCAGGAATTCAGCTGGGGGGGGCCTCTCTGTATCTCAGAAAGAGGGTAGCCCCAGCCGGAGCGCTCAAGGCCTCAGAAACAGAAAGGATGGTCACCCCTCTCAGCAGGTCCCTGCCGGGGCTAACGGCCTTGCAGGCCACCCCCTGGAGCCTTTGCCTTGGCCAGCTCCTAGGTTAAGGAGGTCCCTCAGAAGGAGCTCTCTGGCAGGAAGAGCCAAATTGTCCTCCTCTGATGAAGAGTACCTTGATGAGAGCTTGCTGAGAAGAAGTCGGCGCCCACCTCGATCCAGAAAGCCCTCCAAAGCAGGAACAGTGCCCAACCCAAGAGTAGATGCAGCTTTATCACCGAAGCTTGCAGAGGTTAAGGCTGTTGAGGCTGAGTGGGATTGGCGACACAGCTTGTGGGCTCCTAGTGGGGAGGGGCCTGCAGCCTTGGCCTCCCACAGAACTTCTGAGCACAAATCATCCCTGGTTCCCCTAGATGCCAGGGAGCACGAATGGATTGTGAAGCTTGCCAGTGGCTCCTGGATTCAGGTGTGGACTTTGTTCTGGGAGGAACCTCAACTGGCCTTGCACAAAGACTTTTTGACTGGGTACACCGCCTTGCACTGGATAGCCAAACATGGTGACCTCAGGGCCCTTCAGGACTTGGTCTCTGGAGCAAAGAAGGCAGGGATTGTCCTTGATGTAAATGTGAGGTCCAGTTGTGGGTATACCCCGCTGCATCTTGCAGCCATTCATGGCCACCAGGGAGTTATCAAATTGCTAGTGCAAAGGTTGGCTTCTCGAGTAAATGTCAGGGACAGCAGTGGGAAGAAGCCATGGCAGTATCTAACCAGCAATACCTCTGGGGAAATATGGCAGCTATTGGGAGCCCCTAGGTGCAAGCCCATTTTCCCAGTCTCTCCCTTAGTTGGAAGTTCTTCCCCCACCAGAAAGGCCAAGAGCAGGGAAATATCTAGAAATGTCACCCGAAAGACTTCCTTTGCTGCACTACTCAAAAGTCAGCACAGCAAGTGGAAATTAGCCAACCAGTATGAGAAATTCCCCAGTCCAAGGGAAAGAGAAGAGTACAGTGACTGAGGTGGCTCTGTCCAACATGCAGGCAGCATACCCTCACCCTGCTCAGTGAAAGAATTCCAGGGGAATCTAAAAGCTGATGAGAGTTGGTAAAGAGGATGGTCAAGGGAGATGGCGTTGACCTCGCTGGATCTTATGTTACCACATCCTGGACCTTAGGAGGGTCATCCAAACTTTTTGAAAGCTGAAGTACTTGAACTAGAGAAACCTAAACAAGGGGCAGATCCAGGTGCTCAAAATCCAGGTGGCATTCTTCCTCTTCCCTTGCCACCATGGATCTGGGCACAGTAAGCCACATTGCTCCCTTGAAGCAGCAGTCCCTGGCCTTGGCTAGAGAGGGAACAGATGTCGAACAAAAAGAGAGGCAATTCGAGGAATTGACGAAGCACATACAAAATCCTCTCTGGCTAGGAGCTTTCTGGCTTCTGTTCATTTGGAGAATAAATCTTGGCTGACAGTGGGAAGCACCAGGTTTGAAATCAGATGCCTTTATTTTTCGTTTTTTTGGCATTGAAATCAGTGAAATAAAATTATTACTGGAGAGTAAAGTTTGATTTGAGAGATTCCCCAGCCCTGTTCCCAAATCTTCTTTTGAATGCCATGCATGGTGGTTAATGGGTAAAATGATTAATGCCTCCTTTGCGTCTTCTCACTGATCAGAGAAGCAGTTGGGTAAGATACAGCTATGACTTGGACTCCATTACCAAGAGAACTGTCATTCAAGCCCTGCTTTTTTGTATCAACCCAAAGGGAACTTTCCAAATGTAAAAACCATGTGGCTCATTTGCATAGTGACTGAAACCATCTTTCATGGAAACTCCCTGTGTAACAAACAGAATTATCATTACTAGTTTTCAGTAGGTTTGAATGACCAACATTTGTACTCAGAGAAAGAGAGAAATGATTTCACTCTGAGGAAACAGTAAGGATTAAGAGAATGCATCCTCACCAGGACTTTCTAAGCTGCTAAATGTAATTTTATTTGCACTAAACTTGTTGCCAATTAAGATTAAATATTAGCCTTTAAGTATTGTATATCTAACAGGAAGCATTCCTTTTTAATTGCTTTGAAGGGAATGATTACTTGTGAGTTCATGGAGTGAGAGAATGGCTAGTCTATAAATGTCAGTAGAACATCAAGATTTCAGAATAAGTTCAAAGAGGGCTGAAAAATTACATGTTCAAGTGGAAATTGTTCATTTTTTATGGGAATGTTTTCATATGATGTGGCAATGATGCTGTATTTTAAGTCTTTTTGTGTTTCTTCTGGTTATTTTCCCTCACTAAAAGATCAATAGATCTTTATAATTTATTGTACTTATGCTGATTACTGTTAGTTTTCTTCTTTACAAAATTGTGTCTCAGTGAGTGCCAAATATTATTGTTTCTTTGATTTTTTACTTTATAATTTTCTGAAATAAATACCTCTTTTCTACTAGAAAAATAAGCATAATAAATAAATCTAAGAGTTTTTTCCCCAAAAGACCTATATAAGAGATGAAACTCTGTCAAATCAAAGCAAGAAAATGCACAACCACAGATGGGACATAGTTTAAAGAGATAAAAATTTAAAAGAATACAAGATAAACATCTATGCAAATACTCTGATAAACTAGTAAAATTTGTAAACCACCAGTAAGCTAGTGATATTTCAAGGAAAAGATGTAAACCTTCTAAAAAATCCAATCAATGTTTTTACTTATCATATTGTTATCACTACATCAATTTCTTCAACAGATGTGTTTTGTGTAGTGCTGTGGAACTTATAAAAGTGAGTAGGAGATAAACTCTCCCATCTTGAAACTTAAAATCTAACAATATTTATAATTGATTGCTTTATACCCTTTTTAAAATTATTATTATTTTGAAATGGAGTCTTACTCTGTTGCCCAGGCTGGAATGCAGTGGTGTGATCTCAGCTCACTGCAACCTTTGCCTCCCAGGTTCAAGGGATTCTACTGTCTCAGCCTCCCACGTAGCTGAGATTACAGGCAACCACCACCATGGCTAATTTTTGTATTTTGTATTTTTTAGTAAAGATGGTTTTTCACCATGTTGGTCAGGTTGGTCTCGAACTCCTGACCTCAAGTGATAAGTACATTGCATGTTTCAGTATTTGCAAAGTGCTGGGATTACAGGCGTGAGCCACCATGCCTGGCCAGTACCCTATCTTGCTCCCATGATGTCTTTTAAAGGTGAATTATATCAAAAAATAAGCTTGTAAAATGAGGCAAAGAGAAAAGAAGGATGGTACCAGGAATGAGGACAAACAGCAGCAATGCAAGAAAAAAATTTCAGAGTGTCCTAAGTACAAAATATGTGCTCTGGGGAGAGCACTTATTTCAAGAGACAGAGAAAGAGAAATAGAAAGGGAAAGAGAGAGAGAGAGAAAGAGAGATCCTTCTGGGCTGGTAAAATCAGGGAGGGCTTCATAAAGGCCAGGAATCCTTGAATTGAATGATACTGACATTCCCCAGAAACCAGCTGTGTTCGTTCTACCACATTCTTGACTTGTGCTTCAGTGTGTGATTTACATAGCACTAGTGTTGGCTAATTGTTGACTGGTTAGAACACAATCCTAAGTCTCAAGTTGATTCTTTTTTTTTTTTTTTTAGACGGAGTTTCGCTCTTGTTACCCAGGCTGGAGTGCAATGGCGCAATCTCGGCTCACCGCAACCTCCGCCTCCTGGGTTCAGGCAATTCTCCTGCCTCAGCCTCCTAAGTAGCTGGGATTACAGGCACGTGCCACCATGCCCAGCTAATTTTTTGTAGTTTTTAGTAGAGACGGGGTTTCACCATGTTGACCAGGATGGTCTTGATCTCTTGACCTCGTGATCCACCCGCCTCAGCCTCCCAAAGTGCTGGGATTACAGGCGTGAGCCACTGCGCCCGGCCTCAAGTTGATTCTTATGATGAATCATCATGCTGCCTCTGATCAACTCTTTTACATGGTCAATATGTTATGTTGGGAGGAGTCAGGGGAGAAGAGGGTGTTAAAGAGCAGATTAAAACACAGATCTGATCCTGACACTCTCTTGCCCATTTTGTAAAGCCCAGGCCAGGAGGGCTGCCAGAACTAGCGTACTTGCCCAGCTTTTTGCCAGCCACTCCCTGCCGTGAACGCCAAACTGAAGCTTCATCAGATCCATTGGGATGCTAGTGGCCCTAACCTCTCAGTTTCTGTCTTGTGCTGAATTTCTTCTACTTAGAAAATCATTTTTTTCTATTTTCCTAGTAATCTTATTCCTCAAAGGACAGCTCAAATGTCACAGCCTATATGAAGATTCCAGGACAAACACCTCCAACCCAGAAGCTGTATAGCTCCTTCATCAGAATTTTCCTAATACTATGTACATACCTCATTTATAATTTTTGCCATGTAGTATTTAGGGAAATTGTATGTCTCACTATTCTTGAATATTTTGAACATCTGGAGATTAGTGAATATGTTTTCAATTCATCTAGATTTCCCAGATATTTATGGAGCATCTACTATGTGATAAAGACATAATTCCTGCCTTCAAGAGCTCATAGTCTACTGGGGAAGGAGATAGGAGAGTTGGGTCACTGAAAATTGCTTCTAGCACAGTGAGGTAAGTGCTCAGATGTGTGTCAAGACTCTGAGAATACAAAGAAGGGGACATTTATGAAGCATTTTCTATGTGCCAGTCTCTATGTTTATGCTGAAAATACAACATTTAGTAGAATATACCTATTTCCTGCTCTGTTGGTGCTTTTCTGGATTGGGGAAGTCAGGAGGCAAAAAAGAAGTTACATGAGTTTTGAAGGGTGAAGTGGAGAAAAGAGTTTTGGAAGAGTATCCCAGAAGAGGGAAGGGACATGACCAAAACCACAGAGTAGTTTGGGGGATACTGAGCCACATAGTATGGCAGAAGTGAGGCTGGGCAGAAAGAGGTGAAGATGGAAAGGTCATTTAAGACTAGGTTGAAAGAAGGGTCTTTTTGACCTCGGAAAATATAGGCATTTTCTAGGAAGTCAAGGATTGTAAAAACTCCTCCTAGAAAAACATAGTGTTATTCAAAATCCAGATGTTTTCCTGAAGTCTTAATTTGAAGACCAAAAAAAACAAAGTATTAGATTAAATGTGCTTAATTTTATAGTTTCTCTGTCAAATTTTTCTTAGATCTTCTGTGTTGGTAATGCTTATTTGCTAGCAACTCATCGTAGGCAACAAAGTAATTTAACAAACGGCAATTTCATTTTAAAGGCAAATATTAGACATTGATTAGAAATTGTTGATAAGCTTAGCTCAACACTTTTTTTTTTTCATTTCAGCAGTTGTATGAAAGCTTGTATATAAGAGTCCTTTATTCCTGTATCTTCTCAATGGTTTCTTTCTTGTATTTGCCCTTTTTCTTTCCTATTTGGTGAGATTTGGCTTTCTGTTTATGGATCTTTTTATGGTCTTTGTTCACTTTTAGTCTAGTGATAACCGCTTTGCTGGGGTAAATGCCTACATGGACAGTTGTACCATTAGCCTTTTGCTGTTGCACCTGTTCAATGTAGATGACATGTTTCTTCCTGTAAACCTGGACTATGTTGCCAATTTGCCGACCTTTATGATGTCCTTGCACAGGCTGAACTTCATCATCCTTTTGGATGGTCATGGATCAAACATCGTACTTCCGTCTAAGTTCTTTGGAAAGAGGGGAAGACATAATCTTCCTGTGAATGTGGGAAAGTGCATTGAAATGCCTTTTGCAGTTCTTGCTTTGGTCAGAAGTCACAAAAGCGTTGAATTTCACTTTGGCCACTCTCGCTTCAGTGATGGCTGCAAAAGGTGCTTGACACTGTTTGTTGTAGTCCTAAAGTAGCGAATTTTAATGTAATAAATATACTGTAAATATGAAGTACATATACTGTAATCTTGTTTTATGCTAGTAAAATTGCCTATAGTTCAGACCGTCTCTGCTGATGCCTATCACTATAGGTACCTCGAGATCATCAGCCAGGACAACTTCACCAAGGTGAATGAAGTTCACTAAGCACCTTCTCACTGGGACCCAGGTGACTGTGACTACCCCAAACGGGCAGCAGAACTCCTCCTGCCCTGAGAGTCTATTCCATGGGGTGACCCCAAGGTCATCAAGCTCTTTGGACACCACAGACACTCTGTTCTTAGCCATAGAGTACATCAGCAGAGCAGAGCTGGTCTACTACATCCTAGAACTGGGCTACATGAAGGCAGAAGAGGCCTGAAGCAAGTTTTAGCAGATAGTATCAGCCCTCTAGTACCAGCAGCAGAAGGGGGATACCCACAGGGACCTGAAGCCCAAGAACCTCCTTGTGACCCATCACAACATAAAAATAACAGACTTTGGACTTCATACCAGGTTCACTGTATGCCAGAAGTTGGGCACCTTCGGTGGAAGTCCCTCTTCTGCAATCCTGAACTCTGCCGTGGCCAAACATATGAAGGGCCCCCATGGATGTGTGAAGCTGGAAAGTCATTCTTCACACCACGGTAACCAAGTCCTGCCATTTGTAGGGCAGACCTTTGTGGCGATGAGGAAGCTGATACTGTGTGAACAATTATACAAGATCCCGTTCTTCACTCTTCCTTTCTATAGAACCAGAAAGCTTCATAAACCTATTTCCAACCCCAGGGAGAGGCCTATACTGGAGCACATCATGGAACATGTATGGATCAGCACTGGTCAGAAAAAGACACGAAGGCCATACTGGGAACTGTTCTCTGATCACCAACACTCCTGAAAGACAGGGCTCCCAGTGTCCATGGGATGAGGCAGACCACATCCAGTCCTTGTCAGAACAAAAATTTGATGATACCATGGCCTGGTACTGAATCCTGGGCTATACAGGAAACCTGAGGTGCAGGGCTCCATCATCACAGTGAAGCCTTTGCCTTCAGTAGATCCCACTCAACAGCTGCTAGCCTTCCCCATCACCTGAAAGAAACTCTTATGCTTTAACATACAAAACTTGTTAAGTACATTGGGAAAAGGTGTACAGTTCTTATATTCTTCATTTGTTCACCCTTAAGTGTCCAAAGTTTGTTGTCATTTAGGCTGGTCTAAATATTTAGGGTTGATATAAAATGTGAGGTATAAGAAGGCCAACAGGTCAGGAAACAAGTATTATACAACTGAAAAGATAATTTGTTGCCCACAATTCCCAAGAGGACAGGCACACAAGACGCAGGGCCACACAGGGAAGCACCAGGGCAGGGCCGGGGGCAGGGGTCAGTAAGCAGAGGGAGGGGGAGAGAGCTGCGGGCAAGAACCCTTATTGTGCTTCCTTCTCACTTTTGCCCAGGAAGAACTCCTTGGCAACAG